AACAAATAAGGTCAAACATCAATCATCTTCTGTTTTCGTGAAGTTTATGGTTTGTAGTGCAGTTCTGTGAAATCGTCTTCAGTGTATATCACGTGATCTTCATCATGTATCAGACTATTCATACTATTCAAATCTTCATCAGAGTTTTATTATTCTTACAAATCAACAATGAAAGAACATTTTACCAATTTTCTAGAAAAAAAAAGTAAAAAAGTCTTGTTATTAGGATTACGAGCTAACCGTACAGAACTAATTCAACAAGTCATTTGATATGTACATTACTATTTACATATTATTTATATTATATACATTATGATACATGTACACGTAAACACCCTTAGGGTCAATGTAAAGCATGTCTAAATCTTCTTTTCTTTGAAAAAAAAGTTAAATTTAAAGTAAAAATTCTGAGAATAGGAGAGAGAGAGAGAGAGAGAAAGGAGAGAAAGAGAGAGAGAGAGAAATAAGCCATGATAATGACCAAATATTTTTAACGTCGAAGGACCCTTGTTGAGTGATTTACGAAACTTCTTCTCTACATTACCATTGTTGGAAGTAATGAATATCATCAACATTCGGAAAAACTTTGAGGAAAATTTTTTCATAAGTTATGAGCGAGTTGAAGATGTTTGGCTTGTCAACAACCTCACCCATTTCTATATGTTGCACACGACGAACTTTTCCCACCATATATTCTGGTTGAGGAGAGATGTATGGTCCTTTCATCATCGTCAAACGAAGACTTTGAACGCCACAAGCATCCAGGAAGTTCTAAAGACAATATAGTTATGAGAAAATGTATGAAAATTCTTACCTGTATGAGTTCATCAGTTGGATCGAATCCTATGAATGAAGTATAGGAAAGATGTTTGAAAGTAACTTTTGAACGAATTATGGTTGCCAAATTATCGAAAATACGATTAGATGATGCATCCAATCCCAAATCGAAAGTCATCAGCGATAATCTGTCCAACTTCATCTAAACAATGTCAGTAAGTAACGTACGAATCAAACATGAGTCCATTAACTCAATGAAAATAAAAATTCTTTTTTACCTCTTCCACGCATCCCTCAGCCGCTTCCTGCAAACCGATTCTTCCAATCACTTTCAGAGTTTTCGCATTAGCTTTGATGAGCTGAGCAATTTTGGGAATGGACTGACCACCTTTGCGACGGTGAACTTGCAAAACTTCCAGCTTGACACGTTCTGAAGCGAATTTGGGAATAAAAATAATAATTTGAAATGAATTACCGCATTTAATAACGTGATCCAATAGGAGGTCCAAATTCGTCAAATCAGGATCCTCCACTGTTATGGACAAACGCTTGAGAATTGTCACATCTTTCAGAATAAGCAATAAAATTGCCTCAGCTTCCGCTGCTGGCACATGCGAACCCTGTAATTGAGTATTGATTCATCGTGAGTTTTAAATACCATACTTGAATATAAATAATTGGATCCGGGTGTTTGATTTTTTCGCGATTCAATCCAATCATTCTGTATTGAGCAGGTTCATGAATGTCGATTCTCAGATGGTTGTTTCGAGCTAGAGCTCGTGTGATTGAACGTTCAGCTTGTGCATTTATTTTCTATAAAAAAATGTTTATAGGAATTTACTGATAAGAAAGTAAATTCGGACTTTGAGTTCTAAAGCTTTTTTGATTGGAGCGATTCGGGCAACATGAGCGAAGATTCCATCCAGTAGATCTGGACATATTTGATCGTCTGGGACATAGGAACATGATGGGTTGAAAATTGAAAGATCCCTGTAATTGAATGTTTCAATGAGTGTTGTAAGATTGGAATGACTCACTCTGTTGCTTTTGAAGGAGTTGTTGACATGGGAACTAACCAAATGTACAAATTTAGATTTGATAACTTTTGCTGAATAAGGAAACGTTAGGACAAACAATGAAGTTCAAAGGCTGCTTAGAGCAAGAGAGATAATGGGAAGAAACAAAAATAAAGAATCAAATGAATAATGAACAAACGATCATATAGTCAAACAAAATGGAACAAAAAAATACATAAAATATCTTTAATACTTAATGTAAGACAGACAAGAACGAAACGATTGGAGTCTGGAATAGGAGGTGTAGCTTCCGTTGCTTTATCAGTTTTCCTTTCTCCTTCATAATCTATTCGACTCTCATTTGTTTTTAAACTGTATGGTCAATTGAATGGCCATGTGATTGTTTAAAGATAATGAAATAATTTCAAAATTAGGGGATGCAAGCAAGGTGTGAACAACAAGAAGCAACCGCTCTGAGCGAAACAAATATTTTTGAATAATAAACTTCGTGAGCCCACGTGACGTGTTTCACGTGAAATATGACGTTGTAGACAACAACAAAGCATCAATTGTGAGTTTCAAAGTAGCAGAAAAGAGATTCAGATGTCTCTCTTTGCAGATAGATGAGATGATGAAAAAGTTGAGAATAGAATATAAAATAAATAAGAAAAGTGAAAATTGAAAGTTGAAATGAAAAACAATGAAATTTTGTATTTGAACTAAAAGCTCGAGGACATAAATGAAAGTAAACAAAGCGAAAAACAGATAAGTTGGTAAAATTGGCTGAGAACACGTGCTCTCTTGCGTCACATCAGCACTGCTTCAACCAATAACATCAAATTGATGACCTTGAGAACAAGCAAATTTTGGAAAATATTGAATTCGAGAACATCTGTATATGTTTCGTTTTGAAGAACAGATGTCGTGGCATTATCAAAGAACGATGAAGCTGCAGCAATTGATTTTCTATATTGTAAATTTAAATTAGTTTTGCAATTTCATTTTGAGGTTTTGTTTCAAGATAGGACATACATGAGCAAGTGCAGCAGGGGGAAATAAACTGAAAAATATTGAAATCGAAAAGAAATGGAGGATCGAGGGTGGAAGCTGAATGATGTTTTCCGTATACGAAAAGCTGAAAAAAGGAGAAGGAAAGGGGTGAGAGAGAGAACGATGTCAGTTGGTCCTAAAAGGAATAACAAAAAGCTGAAGGAACGAAGCTGCCGTCAAGAAAGCAACGAAAGCAACAAAGCTATACTTCAGATATTTCAAGACCATATTGTTGAGAGGAGAATTTGGAGCAAAGCAAATGTTATGACCGTGTCTGCTGCTAGTTTATTAAATAATAAGGTTTTAGAGATTAAACTATGTCAGAAAAAAACGTGAACAACATGGCAAAATGGACGAATGCAAGAGATTATGAACAAGCTGAAAAAATAAAAATGATATACTGAATGGATTGGTGGGCGACAGCATTGAGAGGGAGGAAGGGAAAAAAGTGGTTTTGTTTAGCAGAGATGTACATATCCTACATGCTTCCGGAACAGATTAGAATAACATTGGAAGGGCTGCTGAAGAGGAGAGCTCAATGTTATGTGTTTGTGTGCTTGCTCGCTTACGAAAACAGACCTTATATCTATTTTAGCCTCAGGTATTAGAAATGATATCATCAAATGTAAACAAAACGGTTAAAGTACAGTGGAGGTGAAAGAAAATATTTATAATTCTATAACAGATAGAAACAATCATCATTTCTATCAGAAAGAAAAAAGAAAATTTTGAACTCTTCGAGCGAGAGGAAGAGAGCAGCGAACGTAGGACGAGATGACATATTGATCGAAGTTTAAAAAATAGAGACGCATTCGAGCAAATTTTGAAGATTTATTATAGTTTTATTTGATTAAATAAACATATTTATAGTATTCTAAAGTGAAAGGGTAACTATCGATTGCTTCAATGAATATCTGAATAGGAAGGTGTTTTGGAAGCTGAACTTATAGAAGAAGTTATTTGCTTAGTTTAAAAAGAAGTAGGGATGAAGCTCACAGAGCTGAACAGACTAACCAACCGACCCGCACCCACGAATAGCCAGCTATCTCTCAATTCTTAACACATGGCTTTTCGAGTCTTATGCTGAGACCGGTGAGGTGAAACAGACACAAACTATCTCTCTCTCTACCTCTCTTTCTCTCAATCTCTCTCTTCCCCGTAATCTCTATCTAAACCTCTTTTTCAGGGACTTGAAGACGATTAAGAGGGTAGGCAGATGAAGGAATGTAGATATGTCAGAGGAAAAAGCGCCTTGTCATATCAGTGAATATGTTTTCTGCATCTTTACCAGTTTATTTTTTGTTCTCTCAATCACCCTGGTTATCTCTATATGCACGAAAGTCCTCCAGGTTACCTTTACTCTTTCCACATCCACATCTGTTTTCCGTTAGTTTTTTAGCGAACATAAGCTATCTCTCATGTTCTGCCCTAAATTTTTGTCTCAAATTATCTCTCTCTACTAGTCGACAGGTGATCTGAACGCATATAACTAACTGTTATGAAAACATCCTGTTCATAAAATTAGAAATCATTTTTTATCTTGAGTAATAGTAAAGTTCAAAGTTTCACTTATTTACTCAATCATTTCCTCTAGTCATTGGCCAAAAGCCGTTCAGCTGTCACTTGTGTATTTAGAGAGAAGAAAAAAGAAGAGAAAACAAAAGAAAAAAGATCAGCAGAAAATTAATAAACATGAAGTCTCACGTAAGTATCACGTGGGGAGTGGGACAGAGGAAGCTACGTGACAAGAGACACGCGAAGTTATTTCATGAATGTTAAACGAAATAGTCGGTTGAGCTTAGAGCGAAAAGTGAAAGCTACTATTCATATGGCCGTCTTCTTCATTAATGATAATGAAAAGCGACTTCAGAGTGATAGTTAAAGATCATCAAGTGTTTAAAGAAGCTTTTAGTACATAATAAGTCCATGATATAAAACTAAACATCAAAACTCAAAGTGCATCATTTAGCTTGAATATAATGAAATGAACGTCATATTAGAATCTATTCTGTTTATTTACGGCGGACGGACTGTCATAAAAACTAGAGAATTATAATAATAAAAAATATATACTAGGTGAGATCTGTGCGAAACTGATGAAATGGAAGGATTAAGAGGCAGTCTCAACGATTTATAAGAAGCATATGACCAAACCACTTCAGCTTTTACTAGCTCAAGACATATAATGAGAATAAATAAACACACCTCAGCTTTCAATACGTGATTTTTTTAATAATTCATATAATTGTTTGTATTCAAATTATGGTCACTTATCAGTTTCATCAGAAGTGTAGCAGCTAGTATACGAAGGGATGAAAAATCAGAAGATCGACTTTCTCTCCCTCTCTCTCTCTCTCTCTCTCTCTCTCTCTCTCTCTCTCTCTCTCTCTCTCTCTCTCTCTCTTCTCGTATTCATTTTAGCTTTCATTAATGAACGTAATGAGAAAAAAATTATTATTTCTAACTCTAGATATCAATCAATAAAATGTTAGTTTATTCCAAAACTACAATCGATAGTTCAAAACAAACCATTAAAGATGAACTTTGCTAAAATAACCAAATGGCTGAATGAATTGCAGGATTATTTACTTGAAAATAGAAGTTCAACCGCTCTAGTGTGCGCCACAACGTACAATGAGAGTGGAGCAGAAGATGTAGCAGCGCAAAAGACCACGTAAGTCACGTAGTCGTAATGAGTCAGAAACTATATAGAGGTCATGTTATACATTTTTTAAAGTTGGGCAATGAGATTGGCGCTAAAGAGGAAAGAGGAACAATATTTTATAAATCATGTTTATTCTATCTTGTCTAAACATGTTATTTTACAGAAGACACGTGCGTCTCCAATCGAGAAAGCAAGGTGATCGTTCAATTTGCTGTAATAAAGATGAAGATGACATATACACATACATGGTGTTCTTTCTTTTCTTGTTCTTCAAAATTATAGCAAAAACAAGTTTCACTTCGAAGATTTTCATTTTTTTTCAAACAATTCTGGTCAATGAGATTAACAGGTTAACAGTATTGATTATAATTAGTAAAAAGGAGTTGGGCATACAATAGAAGAAAGAGAATGAGAGTGAAAGAGACACAAAACTTCATGAGAGCTCGATGATGTTTGAAGCTCGAAATGAATGACTTTGTCAATATGCGGTAAACGATTATTTGCCTATCTAATATGACAATAACGACAAGACACTGGTCAGAGAAACTAAAGTTTGAGCTTTTTTTTTGACAAATAATATGGGAAAAATCGACTGCGGCCGCATGTCATGAGGTGCATCAATGAATGATAACTATGGAATGTTTTGAAAAGAGCTTTCAACTGTCAGCAATTGTTGTTGAATTTTTTATCTTTTCACGTTTAGTCAAAAATTTCATAGAAAACCTAATAATGATATGATGATGTCAGTCGCATATGGATAGGCTACGAAACTAATATGATAACAGCACTATCTGTTTTTTACAGCTGGCCACACGATGATAATTTACTTAACGACTTTAAACTTTGTCTCTTTCACTTTTCTCTTTGACTCTTTTAATTTCTTCAAATAAATCCACAGATTAGAGGATTACACACGCGAAAGTTGTTGTACCTAAGGAGAAGAAATCCCATTGACGTCATACAGCGATGGGGAGCACATGATTCTCTAACGTCAAAGACACATAAAGAAGAGAACTCTGACAGTTCAAAGACAAGAAAAACACTTTTTAGCAATCGCTCGTAGTATTCACGCAACTCAATTTCTCGAAAATGTCCGAAACAGCTGGTAAACAGGCAAAAAACGACCCAAGAACAATCCCACACAGTGCTTAAAGAGTAGGAGAAACACAGAGAGTATGAGCAGTCATCAAATTAATCAAATTGATTATATGAAAGAACGTTTTGAATAAACTTTGTGAAACATAGTGAGTCAGGGCTTCCGTTGTTACGCATTTAAGTAAATGCAATTTGATAAGAATTGTACGTTCGACCAAAATATCACAAGAAAAGGGGATTCTGCGTCAAAAAAACAAAGAGAAGATAGTGTTGAGGCTAAAAATAAAAAAAAATGACAATTCCAACGGAACGTAATGATATACTCGTTCTTCTTTTTGACTTACAATACAAGTTGAGCGAGAAACTGTTTAGGAACACAAAATTCGCCAAATATCGCTGCTCCATATGATTTCTCAACAAACACAACTGAACTCACCACATGTACATACAACATATAACGTGATACAGATGCTAGAGAGACAATTTGAATAGATTGGATAGGTCAACTAGAAGTAATCCTACCCACTCACCAAAGCCTCACGTCGAAGAGGACAAAGTACAACACTGAGATCACAAAGGAGACAGCTGATCACCACTGATCAACTCCATCCAGATTTTAAAACCAAGAAACAATTTTTTAATGATGATCAAGGTTTCCAGGGAAACTAAGATGCTAAAATTTCACGAAAGATGAAGGTCAACCTTCCTTCCGAGTCAGCTGGAAAACAAGTAACACAGCATGACTATCTTTCTTACGAATAACGAGATCTAATCTATACATATAATTTGATGAATTATTTCCTTCACATGTATGGGAAATTGAAAAAGCTCATACTTTCTTATCATAATTTCAACTCGGCGGTTATTTTTGTGTTCGAATCAGAAGTAGGAAGACGGGTTTCATTATTGAAATGATTTTTAAACGATTAACAAGATCAAACAATGAGATGAAAATAAATTACCGAACAAGGAAGTTATCTACAAAGTTGAAAATCACTAACAAAAAACAAAAAATTGGAATCCCTAACTACCCATGTCCATCGGGTTCTCGTCAGTGCCTTCGGCCATACGTTGTTCTCTAGTTTTAGTTCTATCCAATCTCCACACCTAAATAATATCAATACTAATTTCAGAGGGTAACTCAAATTGCGACCTGTATGTAAGATTCAGCTAACACAATCATTTGAGGGAGAATTTCTTTCACGTGCAAATCTTCCAACTCGAACCATTTTTGAGATCCCTTAACAGAAGTGTTAAAGAACTTGGATTCATTAAGCTTACTTGATGCACAAGCTGTACACGGTAACTTCCTTCTTCGGGAGTTCCTTCATGAACTATGTTAGCTACCAGATCATATGTTGTGTATTTATGTGACTGTTGTGCCTCAGGTGCAAGACAATCATACAAGTCAACGTTACTGAACGACATGATATTACATGTCTATAAGAAAGCTATCTTACCTGATTGGGAAATTAACAATTGTTGGGTTCTTCTCTACGAACCACTGGTTCTTATTGAATCGCTTATAAGTGATTATCAAATACTCTGGTAGTCGCAGCAACTCGAACCTTTTCATTATATTCTCCTTGTAAGTCTTGTACTCCTACAAACTAGATTATGACCAACAAAGACAATCAGGAACTCACCCTTTCCAAAATACCATTGAACTTGCCGAGAAGAACATGAAGCGGCACTTGAGGGATAATGTTCTCCAATTGTTGATCACGATACAAAGGAGCTGGTGGAAGATCCAATGTTAAATACAAGAAGGGAATTTCTTTTACAGTTTCTAAACAGAAAAAAAGAAGTAATGAGAAAAATAAAAAGTGTAACCTTGATACTCAGGAAGAATGAGTAACTGACGACGTTCTTCCTCAGTAGCTTCTGTTGGCATCACTTTTCTGGAATACTGACGCATTCGACCACGGAAAGCTCTGAAGTTACTGAGTGATTTCATGTTTAACTGGATGTTCTGACTTGTAAACTATTGAAGAGTTCGTTTTGTTATTTCCATTCAAGGCTGTGTGTAGCGTATTCAATAAGAAGTTCATAAAATCAGCAGCATCACCTAAACTCAGCATAACTAACAGTGCATGGAACGGTAATATCTTACTTTGTTTTGTAAACTGGAACTTTTTTTCAGAACACAGAACAGTGGCCTGAAGCATTTCATGAGGGGATACATGCTTTCTAAAAGCTTTCGGGTTCCAGATTTTTCTGAAAAAAAAACATTTTTAATACTATAAATACAGGTTGCAAACCTTATAAGCTCTCCGAAACGTTTTGGTAGCTCAGAAAGAATATCTCCAGGAGGTCTCTTTATTTTGGCATAATTTTCCTCTTGTAAGAAATAGTTGCGAAGCGGGCTGACTTGAGCTAGTGCCTACAAAAATCTTTTACTGAATCTTGACGGGCAATCAAAACACATACGGAGAAAATAACGTTACAGTAATCGTTAGCCTTGATGTTATTCAATCCAACAACTCCAGGATAGTATGTGCTGTCATCATAAGCTCTAGCCATACGTGTCTGTTTGTCGAGACTTGCAATCAAATCTTTTGTATATGTGGGTTGGAGTACGTACTGAATTGAAGTATATTTCAGATCAAGTCGAAAAAAATTACTTTGATATCATCCAGAGAAGGGTCTTGAACCTCATAATTATCTGGTAAACAGAAGAACTTCAACGTTTGCAAATTCATGAACACTCTATGATCGGTGTCCAAGGAATGGGTATAAGCATGGGTGTTTGTTCCTCGACCCTGAAGACAAAAAGAACAATTCGTGAATGGATATAGAAGAAAACTCACTTGAAAATATTTTCCACAAATCAAACAAGCATATACATTCAGATGTGATAATGATACCGAGCATAACTTTTCGAAATCAAAGTCCAACACGGATCTGCAAAGATTAACAAAAAAGGTTTTTTTGAAGCCTAACGTTCATACCGGTCAATTGTATCTAAGTATGGGCAGACTCTGCTAGGTTTTTCTTCTTGGGCTCTTTTCATGGACCAAACAGGCTCATCTCCTTCCTCTTCTTTTTCTTTCTGAATAGTAATGATAGACCCTAACTGTAGTTGTTGGCTTACGATCAGTTCTTCCTCAATAAGTCTCTGACGCTCCAATTCACGAGCGGAGAGTATTTTTGGCTTCGGTGGCTCCCTCACTTCTCCATCCTCGTCTGATTCTTCTCGCTTCTCTTCTCTTTCTCTCTTTGTACGCCTGGAGTCTGATCTTCGGGATCTTTTTCTCGAGTGACTGGTGCTAGCTCTTTCTGACTCCATATTCACTACCTACAATGCTAAGGAATACGTTTTTCTGGAATAAAAACTATTTATGACAGAGAGAATTGAAGAAATGGAGAATTGCACCGAACAAGAAGCAAACGATTACTTAATTCGAAAAGGAATCATTCAAAAAACTAGCATTCAAAAAATTATGACGCCGTTGCTTAACTAACGTTTAGTAAACAGCATGCAAAACTATATAGGCCACGCCCACTAAGCATGAAGTAGTGGAAGACGTAGAAGCAGAAGCTGAAGGGAAATTCTTTTTTTAATAACATTGAAGCTTCATCAACAACAATATCTGCAAGATTGCTCCTCGCGCGATCTTCTTTCGATTGATTTCTGTCATTCTGTTTTCCGTTCTTCATTGTTCCGACCTTGCACTGTTCTGGACTGAATTCGGTTAGAGAACTTTTAAAAGAAGAAACAGTGAATCAGATGTTCGACTTCTCCGAATGTAAATTCGGATTTTACTTCAATTACAGAAGTTGATCAACATTAAGATTTCTATTTCAAAATTTATTCATAAATCATCTATCCAAAGAAGTCAGAATCACTGTCCATCCTTCCTAGTCTTTTGACGGGAGCAAAGATATCATCACTACTTGAACTGTCATTATCAGCTATTTTCTTCAAATACATTGATAAAGATCCTTTCGTATCCGCTGGTTTGTCTGGTCTGGAAGATGCATTTGTAAGTTCCGAATGAATAAGAGATACATACTCGGATTGATTAGGCGGTTTCCTATTGTCGACAGGATGACTAGTGCCTTTATCAATATCGTCATCACTGTCATCACTAGTTTCAACTTTCTTTGAGAGCAAATTCATAATTTGTGAATTGGAATTACGGACATTATCTGAAATGAAAATGATTTTGTAAAGAAATGATATGAGGTTGTCACTTCGATTGTTTTGTTGGTTTTGAACAACTTGAGGAGCATCAACTGTTTTTTCTACTGCGACCGAAGGAAACGTTACCACTCGTTCTTGAATAATTTCTTCGTGTTTTGTTTCCTTCTCTATGTTGTGTATGATCGGGTCAGTACGTTGACCAACGATTGGTTCACGATTTTGTCGAGGGACAGACATTTCTTTAAGTAAGCATTAGTATGGTTTCTGAATAGTTCTTACCATTCAACAGATGATCGTCTTTACTCTCCGGCGAGTCGTGCATATTGGCCATAGGTGGATATTTCAAACTTTGTTCGTAAGCATAGAAGTTGGGAGGCACATGATTATTGTGAAAAGCAGGCACAGCTTCTAAAACCACGAACTAGTCGAAACGAAATTGAAAAATTACCGGATGATTTAGGATAGCTTGAAGTATTAGAATGAGCCAATCTCAGTTGAAGTTCCCTCATTTGAGTTGCCAGCTCTTGTACTTCTTTCTGAGTTTGATAACAGTTGAACATCGGGTTATTACTGTGAGGAGGGTTTCCATTGCGAGTCATGACACTCTCCCAGATACATTCCAATGGGTTCGAAGGTTCCTAGATCACATAAAATAATTCAACAGTTTTCGTCGTTAAATAATACTTCTTTGCGAGGCACACCAGCATAGGAAGATATCATGGGTTTCCATAAAGGGTATTTTAGTCTCAGATAATCTATATAAGCATCCTGTAAATCTTAGGTTGATGAGGGATATTATAAAAACATGCTTACTCTTGCTGACCTGGCGTTACTCAGTCTTCTTTCCAAAGAATTAATTTTTAAAGATAACTCTTCTAACGTCTTGCGATGTTTCGATCTCATTCTACCGAATTGATCTCGGAAATCTTTCAGCTTAGTTTGGAATTCATCGTCATAAAGCAAGAAACGATATCCTTTACTCCTTGGGTACTTCTTTGAAGTATTTTTCAAAAACTTATTCCTTCGCAACTCGCTTATAGGTTGATCTTTATCCATGAACAACTCCTCAGGATCCTCCATTCTTTACCTATAAATTAAAATTATAGAAATCTAAAAGAATAAAATATGAAATTACAACGTGTAATCGCAAGGTCAAGAGAAAGTATGTTAGCGAAAGCTCACCCTTACAAAACCATCAGAGTTGTTGTCATGGCGACCGTCACCACAACGTATGCCATCGACATTGAAAATATCCCTTTGACCATTGCTTGCAGAATCGTTCCGATAATGAATTGCAACAACTACCTGTATTAATGACAATAATTTTAATTATTTTTTGAATCAGAGCAGGCATATAGAAGGAAGCTGTGTAAGTGGCTGGGTTGAACTAAGAGTACACACGAAGACTTATGGCAAAAGCTCATCGAAAAATTATTCATCCGCGTGTTTAAAATCCCAAAAAAATAGTGAAAGTCTTATTCTGTAACAAATCCCACTTTCCTTTATTTCATGGAAACGATAACTTTAAGGCGGCAAGAACTACCGGGCAACGTAAATCAGGGAAAGCCGTTTTTCTAAAAGGTGGTCCTTTAAAAAAAAACAATTTTGGCAAAGGTATCACATGATTGTAACAAAATAAAAAATCGAATAGATAAAGGAGCCTGGTGACAAACGAAATATGCAAATGAGCAGTAAAAGCTGAGTAATCTTTCGTAATACAGATGACACAATAGACTGCAGACTGATTTCTACATCTTACTAGTTCTGCTGTGGGCTTCATAAAAAATAGTTTGTTGATAGAATGTTAGTAAAAGGTTGTAAAAAAAAGAAAAAAAATAAGATATGATGGTAAAAAGCCCTTAATTATAGGTAGTTTCAAGATTTGATGCTGCATTAACGCTTACCGTAAACAAAATACATTTCTCACGATTTGAATTCGTAACTGCAGATCTCACTAATTTCAAAATCTCAAATTCAAAAAAGTGAATTCCCTTGTGTATGCAAATTCGCTTCAGCTGTTTTAATTCCTAATATATATAAAATTATGTCGTTCTCTTGTAAAGGAGAAGAGGCTTTTGAAGTCGCAAATTTATTGAAAGATCACCTCTTGCCAAGGCGACATGATGAAGCAGAAAATGGCATTGATCTGTCTCTGGGTAAGTTCGTAGAGTAGTCATTATTGCTAGGTTTTATTTTTAGACTTCAGTCATACAAGTTTATATGAACTGTCGGACAATGATGCCGAAAAGATATTCAACGAGTGCTGTGCTCGAAGACATGAATGGGCTATGGGAAAAACAGCCTTTTTCTTTAAAAAAATACTTGTTCCCCAAATGATAAGCCACTCACTGGTTTGCTGAATTTATGAAGTTTCTTATTAAAGAGATATAATTTCAGGAGAATTTCACAAATTTTGTGAATGTTAGAAACACTAATTGGTTAACCAAAGGAGACATCCTACTACTGAGAACCATCCAATACAAGAAGGAAGAGTTTTCTGCCATGTATGAGTCTCTCATAGATCTAGGTAAGAATCATATCTTTGTTTTCTTAATATTTTCCGATAGTGCCTAGTAAAACAGAATACGATTGGACTATTGTGGATACGGCTGGTGATGAAGTTGATGATGAGGTTTTTTGGAGTATATTTTATTTAACTCTCTACTCTTTATAGACAGATGATTTTGAAGCTCTTGATGTAACGGAAACCGTTTTCTATCCAGTTGCGGAAGGTCAGAGAACCGTTCCACTGCATTCCTCATTCTTCAATATTCCAGATAGTTTCTCCACTGATCCCATTATGCCTGAGAACGTAGTTTTTTCTGAGTTTTTTTTAATCCAATTTCTCACTTACAGTTTTTGGCCCGATCTCCACCAAGAGGAAGCCGAGAAAGTACACCTATTCTAAAAAAAACTCAGCGCAAAGCGTTACGCCCTTGTTCTGAAACATCGAGTCCTTCAAATGAAATCCCCATATTAACCAGACAGGGTAAAATTTGCTAGTTTTTCAAACGTTCTTAGTTTATTTAGAAGGTGAAGCAGAATCTGAGATATCGAATGATTTCGATGTTTTCAATAAGTTGCGTGATCGTGGAGCTATTCGCCAGACTTTCACTGTTGATGATTGTTGCTCAATAAGAGCTGATAGTAAGTTGCTTGACGTTGACTTAGCCCAGTTCTGTCTCAGGTGTATCACCAGAACGCAAAAGCGGAGTAATGTTCAAGAAAGCTGATGATCACGTAAGCACTGTGACAAAAATATCTCCTGTTCGTTTACGTAGGTCGGACCGTAAAAGAGCAAGTGTTCGAAGTTTGATTTGAGTTCTTTCTCATGTACAAAAATACTTTTTCAGTTTTTGAAACCCCTCCACGTCATGTTAGTCGTATTTCCTCACCAAGTGAGTGTTGCATGTTGCACAAATTCATTATAAATACCTTTCAGGAAGTGCGAAGCGCGAATCCAGAGTACTCAAACCGAGAGATACATTCTCTGGTTTGCACAGTGCCATTGATGATAATGAATATGTTATTACTCCAAATGGCATTGCTTTATCGGATATGTTACTCAAGGCTCAAATCGAAAAGGTGAGTAAATGTCATATCATACTTTATAGTTGCTTTGTTCAGGAGATAGCAATGGCCACCTACTATAAAGTCCTCACTGAGAAGGAAATGCATGAATTTAGTAAAATGACAAAATAATTTTTTTTTGAACATGCATGTTAATTGAATAACAGATTTTATTTTAATGTTGCTTGTATGTGTGTAGGGACTGATAAAGTATTAGATATTATGGCTTTCGTTTGATCGTTTACTTATGGCAGTTATAAAATTTTAAGAGCCAGTTCTACGAGTATTTCATATCCTCCTTATATTGCAGCTTTTAAATACTCTAAAAGACTCACATGTTGCTCTTGTAAACATCATAATAGGGAACGGTTCGCCTGAGGCTATTAAGCCATATTCATATCGAAGTTATATGCTGATTTACAGCTTGTATTTGGATGTTTTGGAAACGCCGACAATAATTTACAATTAGAAAAGGCGGCGCCCTTTGAAGATTTAAAGACTGGGTTGGTTGGTCGGGTGGTTGGAGAGAATGGATGAATGAAGAAGTATGTCTTTGAGCATAAGACAGGCGGCTTGTCTACCAGCCGGTTACATCAATTCTCGTCTCATCATCAGATCTTCTAATATAATTTTCCAAGCCATAATTTCGGAATTGAATTCTCGACATCTTCGCAATAATCTGGAAACGGGAGTCTGAGCATCTAAAAATAAGCTGAGCGCTCAACTTCAGGTAGTTCATTTCATCATTTTCAAATTAGTTTGTATTAATTGCCGAATTTTTATTTTCAAGAGATAGCATATAGAAATTAAAAATGTGTCCTTGTTCATTTGATTTTTATCTGTTTGCTTCTTCCATGTTATTGTTTCACCACGCATCAGTGACTTAAGGAATTGAATTTTTACATATTAGGGGAGCGAAATATGGTTCGAAAGGATAATAGTCACATCCTTGCTTTTTCTGAGCTTTTGGCACGTGATGAAGTTGCTGGCGGATTGAGTTGATAAACGAGTTCGGCAGTCTGGGACCTTTTAGCTTTTTCCGACTGAAACAGAAGTCATCAAACAACTTCTTTTCTAATAGATAGAAAAGAACTAGACGTCCGAAGCTCACAAGGACAAGCAAAAGAAAAAGAAGAAGACAATCCGAAAAGATGGCAAGAAGAATGAGTATGAAGAGCTGAGGGCGACATGTCTCTCATGGCGCCAGCCCTACCGCTCTGGTCTCGAGGCGGCTCCTTTGATGTGGCCGCCGTGGTCCAACCCACCGCAAGCGCTCCTGCTGGTTGGTGATGTGAGACTTTGTAAGAGTGAGTTTATAATATTGTGTGATAGTTACAACGATTTGTGTGTATGATATGATATTTGAAGTTATAATCTGAGTTGAGTAAGTAGAAAGTGTGTTGGGTAGTCTTTCGCCATTCTCTCTGTCTGTTTTTTTTGCAGTCACAAATGGTGTTCGTTCAAATTCCACAGTTTGAAAGAACTGTAAGTCTTTCCTTATCGTCTACTTTATCTCATTTGACGTATTCTTCTTTTAGTATAAATATTTTTGAATGACCTCTCTTAAAGTTGGTATATCATCTCCATCTCAAAACCACTTACAATAATCAGCACATCTGAGTGATAAGATATATTTTCAGCTAGGGTGGTCTTTGTTGTCTATGTTTTTATTGAATAATTCCGATAAATTATAACAATTATTCCATTTTATCTCCTTTCACCATAGATAGCTGAATCATTTCAGAAAATTCATGCTATGCTGGGAACGGAATCTTTTCTTTTTTTCTTCCAACTGATTAACAACTGGCCATCATCTATGATTTATTTGTGGGATTCCACTGTATGTTTGCTTTTCATGGTTTTCTTCTAAATGGATTAACTCTTTCAGATACGGCCCAATACTCATGTCTTCGATGTTCGGTATATGTCATCGCCGGATAATACAAGTGATGGCATTTTGCAGTTGAATAGTGTATCGGAGTTCTATCGGAACTTTGGTAGTACTGTCTTTACTGTATGTCACGAAGTGAATGACAATCAAAACTTCACATTCGAATGGCAACTCCTTCGACATGGTGTTGTTGTACAAGCTCGAAATGGATCTCAATGCTCTGCTCAATTTAATTTAATCACCGACGTGAGTGGAGGTTTTATGAACTGTTTCAACAAATGAAGATAAGAATATCAACATTCACACGTCATTTTCACGTGATAAACACGGCCACGTCGTGTTCACGTACGATGTTTTCATTTCTTTTACGAGAATTGATAGAAGCGGTTGTGTTTTCTATTGCATGTACACAACTCTGTCCTTATTATTCCCATTTTCAGGATGAGTATCAATGCACACTACGAGTTCGACATTCGAATGGAAGTATTACCGGGACAGGATCAGTTGATGCTCGACGAGAATCAACGTGGATTGTTGTTATTGGAGATTCATTTGCTTCTGGAGAAGGAAACCCAGATACACCTGCTGAATTGACTGCACCTGCGAAATGGATAGACGGTACGGTATTTTGCATATTAATAACAAACATTATTGGAAGTGTTTGAAATGTTTTTTTCTTCATTTCAAATAAGCCTGATGATAGTAATGAGTTATCGTAATCACAACGGCTTCTTTTTTCTGATGGTGAAGCTAAAAACAAGCGGACATACTTTGATGTTTTTCTAACAAGCAATTGTAAACTTCTTAGAAATAGTTCTTTCATTTTCGTTAAAGAAAAGATAAATTGTTTCAGATACGTGCAGGAGATCGAGGCATTCGTTTGGCTGGCTCGTTGCCGACGATGTTGCGAAAAGAAAAACAGCACAATCAGTCTACTTAACTTTCTTAGCTTGCTCAGGCGCATCAGCTGATCGGGGTATTCTGAAACCCGGAAATGGCCAATTGAGCCAATTGGAAGCAATAGAAAAAATGAGCAATGCGAGGTATGATTTCTTTTCGAAATCATAATCTTACCCTTATATCAGAGGTCGAGGTCCTGATTTAGTACTCATGACTGTTGGAGGGAATGACATTGGCTTTGCTGAAGTACTACATTCTCTGCAGAAACAGAAAAAAGAGAGAGAAGTTAAATCATTTGATATGAGGTGATAGCAGTATGAGAACACGTTCTTTTAAAACAATTGTTTCCAGATTTTTTTTTGTTGCTCATCTATTAGACCAAATTTCATCTCGTTTACGGGCTATTGGTACTAAAAGGGTTGTTCTACCGTTATATTATGATATTACTCGAAACGAACAGGAAGTGATCGACGCAAGTTGTGAGCAGTTCAGAAAGGTAAACAAGTAACTTTGAAAAAAGAAATCTAAAAGTATGATTATCAGATTACAACAAACAGACTAGCTGAAGCTGAGAGACAGTTCTTTCAAAGACTCAATCGGCTGCTGTTGCGGAAAGGCTTAGAGTTCGGCTGGACGGTCGTAGAGTCGATTCCATCAATATTTGCAAGTCGTGGAGTGTGTTCCAGTATATCAGCCATAAGGTAGTTTCACTATTCGTAGTATAAATCACATGATTGGTACTGTACAGATCACTTGACGAGTCATCGCGAATGCAAGGATCACAGTCGGGAGCATTCCATCCAAATGCATTAGGTCACCGTCTAGTAGCCGATGAAATATTAAAGCTGATAGAGTCGAGAATTTGAGATTTTCCTGGGTTAGAATTAGAAATTCCTTATCTTTTAATACTATTTCTTCTACAATTATATCGGTAGACTCTCAGTGATAGTTTATGCTACAGGTACTGATCTCATTGTGCTTTTGATCTCATTTATTCAAAGTTAAAAGCAAAAAACATTTTTTGAACAAATAAATATGCAGAGGTATATTTGTACAACTTTCAGAGTTTTTCTTCATCAATTCTGAAAATCAAGTTTTGGCGTGGCTGCCAAAGGTGGGAGACTCTATGGATTTGCTATTCCAAAAATGGATGTCATCCCGCAACATCAACATTTCAAACAAAAAAAGAATTACAAAGAACAAAATTCTACGCAAATGCTTAGTATAAACCGGAAACCGAACCAACTATACAACTATGTACAAAAACAACTGTTACATCAGTAATCTTCTTAAGTAGACGTTAACAGCTTCTTAAGCTTTCTTGGCGACCTTTCCAGTCTTCTTCGCCACTTTAGCCTTGGGCTTTTTGGAGATCTTCTTAGATTTCTTGTCGAGAGTTGTTTTCTTAACTGAAGCTTTCTTGGCTGTCTTCTTAGCCTTTGGAGCCTTTGCTGCCTTGGTAGGCATTTTCTTGGCAGTTTTCTAGAAATAATAAACTTGTTTCCATCAGCCAAGCCGTTCATACCTTGACGGCCTTCTTAGGTGCCTTAACAGTCTTAGCCTTAGCCTTAGCTTTAGGCTTCTCGACCTTTTTCTTCATGTTATGAGCTGGAGCGACAGTGAAGCTTCCAGAAGCTCCATGGCCCTTAGTCTGAATATGTGATTCCAAACAATCCGAAGTTTATGGCAATGCTACCTGTTTGACTTCTCCATTATCCAAACCTTTCTTCAGAGCATTGCGGATGTGAGTATTGATCTAAAAAAAGAAGAGAATATAAAATTGATGAAAGTCTCTATTACCACTGGAAGATTCTCACCAAGCTCGTAATTTCGAGCAATGTACTTAAGAATAGCTGCTTTGCTAGCTCCTTTAGTATCATTCAAAGCCAGAATTGCACTCTTAAATATCAAAAATGTAAAATTGGAAGATTTCCGAGTAAACCTTGATCATTGTCAGATAAGTTGGATGATGTTGGTTGGATGACTTTCGTACGGGCTTTTCATCTCCAGAATCGATAGGTCCGACAGGATTCATAATATCGAGTTCGTGGATGTAACCTGGACCGACGTTCATCCTATTCAGTAGTAGTATCAGTTCGCGACGCAGTTCTGTAACCTCCGGAAGTTCATGAGTATTTTTTTTCCGGAAAAAGTTTACAAAGAACATTCACGTCCACGAACACGAGAAAGAACAAGGAATATGACGTTGTGAAGAAAGGATTGGGAGAGAACCGTAACGATTCGGAGAAAAGACGAGCAAATGAAGCCAAAGGAGTCATTTCGAATTAACTGCTGAGAAGCGCAAATAGTAGAATGGAGTAAAGCTGCTAAGCTTAAAGTTTGAATGAATAAAAATGTATAAGAAAATTAAAGATTATGAACTGAACATACAGAGATTGAAATGGCAGTAGCAATCATCACATAGACAGAGCGAGAGAGTAAATAGAACATGAAGTGTCGGTAGAAAAACAGATGGAAACCTCGTGACTCCTCCCTTTCTCTTCCACCTGACACATGGTTTCTCTAGTACCTCTCTTTCCCACAATGCTATTTCTATGCTCTCTCTACTTCTCCTAATCCGGCAGAATGTTTATGTGGAATATTGGGCAGATTTCTTATCATGAAAGAAGACGATGCATCACTTACTTCTCGTATTTTCCGAAAAAAAAATGTTTTTTTTTTGTTAAGATATTTCGTTTGGAGAAACCTTTGAAAAACATGTTTTTCAACCACTCTATTGACTCTCTCAACTTCAAAGAAAATGCAATGAAAACGGAAGAATGTTAACAGAAATGCCTTCGAAATTACAAGTTAACAGTTCAACATGTGACAACGTGCCATCTGACCAATCAGTTCGGATCATCTATTGCAACAAACAAGAGAAACAAAAAGAGAGAAAAAAAAAACCTCAACAAGCTATTTCGAAAAGAAAGTCAGATGTTGGCTGAAACATAGCGAACGATTGAGAGAACGAAGTTGACAACAACCCAGCACATGATCAGACACGCCTACATCATTTGGACGGAGGCCAAAAGCAGAAAGAGAATAACAAAAGGGCAAAAATAAGGCCGTTGAATAGAGAAAATAGGGAATTTAAGAGAGAAGAAAAAGGAAAGAAAGATTTGGATGGAGGAGAAAAAATAAATAAATGACTTTGTTCAGTTTGGGAAGAAGAAAAACGAACATGAGGCGGAATTAAAAATATTAAAAAATGAAGGCGAAAGAGAGGCAGCAGCAGCAGCGAAAAAAGAAAAAAAAGAAGAAGACAAAGAGAGAGAGAGATGAAGATGGAAACGAAGGGGAGAAGATGAAGACAAAAACGACGAAATGAAGACGAAGATAGAGAACAAGGAAGGGAAGGCATGGATGAGGAAGAGCCATTTTTCCTTTCTTTCATTTGATTCATTTCTATTGAAAACAACATACCAATATCCTGTCTTTGTGCCGAAAAAAAAGTTTGAAACTTTGATGATGAAGATCTGAAAAAATTCTTCAGAATCGTGTGCAAAACATTCAGAACAATGGCTGACGAGAATGCAAAAATCGTCAATTGCATTTTGTTTTTTGGCGAAGTTTTGACAGAGAGAGAGGGAATGAGATAGAGAGGTTCAATATATATAAAAATGGAGGGAAATAAAGTTGGTTATAAAACATACGCATGAGACGCTTAAAGTATGCGAAAAGAGTATGGAAAGCGAGAACGACACATCAACCTCAACCTATCATATGGCTTGTCCAATAAAAACATTTATGCAAATAGAATTTTATTAATATTACACATAGTTTAAAAGATTTTTAAAATCTAAACGATTTAAACTTCATAAAAATCTCATAAAACTATCACATAATGTATTAACAAAACGAATTCTTTTTTTGTGTGTTGTTGTTTAAAATCTGAATCATATAGGCTTATACATATCAGATGGGAATATGGTTATGGTGCACAAGTGGGTGATAGTGATGGTAATTGGTTAAGATAAAGAATGAATGCACAAGAAAGCTTTGACAAAAATGAAATTCGGAAGATCAGCAAACGGGAACAAATCATGTTTTATGGAATTCATCCAAAAACGATATAATTTGAGCTTAGTTAGTGGAAACTTTTTTGTTTTTCTCAATTAGGCTTAACTGGATGATCGATCAGAGCTAGAACATCATTTTATTATTACAGTATATATATATATATAAGTATATATATATGCATATATAGAATACTATAAATGGAATACAAAATATAGGATTGGCAGCAGGTATATGCTGGCTATATATGGTAAACGAACAGCTGGATTACAGCCATCGGTATCACAGGCTTGCACACAGCCAGAGTAATGATGACCCTCGTATTTGAAATGCCCGCAATGACTGATACGCACGATTTCTGCAAAAGAATAAAATATGTTTTTTTTTCTTAATATTTTATTATTGTAATATGCATTTTCATTTTGAGTAACAAGCTTTTTGTAGCCATTTTTTCTCTTTTAATTTGACTGTTCAAGTATGAGTATGAGAACGATCAAACACAACCGACTCTGAGGACTGCGAAATGAAAAATAACGTTTGATGTTTGTAGTCACGTGTGGATTTTCATTAAATAACGTGTACAGTACCTGTATCAGCAGTCAAAGTGCCTGAATCCAGAGCACAAGTGCGAATTATCATAGTTTTGGAAGAGTTTTCTGCTGAAATACGAACAGAAAGATTATTGAGAGAGCATTGCTGCGAATATGATACCTCGATATCCATTTATTTTAATACAATGATCAGCAGGAAATAAACCTTTTCGTCCTTTCTTGAAAGCCCAACATGGATGATGATAATTGGCTACCGAACCAGCTTCTCTCTCCTATAATACTAAATGAATTGGTAGTTCAGAAAACATAACTTACTTTGCTATTATTCTCCAATGTGGAATTGAATGGATCCTCACAAGCTTTATTTTCTCCATCAAAAGAGCTACAAACGAAACAACCGATTGCTAAGCTTCCTGGAAAAAAATTTTAACTTATTGACAAGAAGGGACTAGAATGAGGATTAGCATGCAATGTGACACTAGAGCTGTAACATCACTACTGTTTAAGAATTTCTTCAATTACCTGGTACGAGGGAAAGGAGAATCAACCAGAAGGGCGGGGCGCGCGCCATGCGCACCCCGTCCAACACGTGCAATACGTGTCGAAACCTTCGCGCTCCTTTACAGGAACAGCGAACGGTATCAATGATGGGGATAGAGGATTCTAAACTCAATCCTCACCCCAATCGCGCTTGTAGTACCAGCTTAATGAGTTCAGAGCGTATCTGGAATGAAGAATTAAAGTTGTATAAAAGCAGAAAGTAGTAACGTAGAAGAGAGAAGAAGAGAGAGAGGTCCAACAAAGAATAAGGAGAGAAGTACATCACGCAACGTTTTAAGAAAGAACACAAAGAGAAGAATGAAGTAGAAGGAAAGTTGAAAAGAGAGTTACAAGTGTTTTGTTTTAAATATCGAAAGAAGTTTTTCGTGTGAAAAAAAGTATTTCAAAAATGAAATTTGTGAGGTATGACGTTTAACCAATTTAATCTAATAATCGCTTCCAACAGGAAATACACTTCGTGCTTAACGTGGAAAAAGAATTTGAAAATGAATTGTTTTTAACATTTTTAACTCGAAAATATGATTAATTGAGAAAGAAATAGAGAATTAGGGTTTTTGAAGGAGTGTCTCGGAGAAGGAGAGGAGCAGGAATCAGGTTGGGTTGATGGAGAAGTTTGAAAAGCTGCAATGGATGATGGCAGTAAGATGCGCTGCAGCAATGTGTTCATTTGCTTTCATTTTCTTCTTTTTATTTCATTTTTCTACCCTCATTTACAAATTCAGCTGTTAGAACTAATGTTGAAGCAGTTCGGGAAAGCTAATAAATAAATGAAACAGCTTTTTCTAAATCCGAGCCAAAATGGCCAGAGGCACTTTAATAGCCGCAAATTAAAACTTCCCTAATAATATCCGAAAAAAAAGAAAGAGAGAGGGAGGGAGAGAGAGAGAGAGAGGGAGAGGGGGGAGAAAGAAAACAAACGATAACGTACAGACGATTATTATGGAAACATCCCACACAGCCACAAGTTCAAAATACTTTTTCAACACAACATTTCATTTTCTCGTTTCGAACTTCAGATGTTAGAAAACAAAAAACTTTCAGTGAAAGTTAGCGGAAAATACAAAATATATTTCCCTCAAAGAACAGAAGTTTGACGTCTCATATTGTTTCAGAAGAAACAGAATTCCTATTCAATATGATTCTAACATGACTATATGAAGGGAAGTGTTAGTTAATAATCTAATTAGAAGCTAAAATCAAAAACAACTGTAGCACGACAGCTGAACATAGCTACGAATGGATCTATGGAAAGGAAAGGGAGAGACGAACATTTTGAGGAACGACTTCTACTCCTCCTTCTTTTTGTGTTCAACTAATTCGTGAGGGGAGGGAGGGAGGCAGGCAGGAAATCTTCATCACAAACTCTGACATTGAAAAAAAAAGCATTTTTGCCTCCTCATTCAAATTAAGAGCAGACAGCGAATTTTTAATGCTTGTCTCCATCTTTTTTTTGATGTCTTAGCAATTCTTTGTTGAAAATAATTGTCCAAAAGCGTGTACATGGGCTAAGAGGCTATTCTTTTGTTTCCAAAAGAATAAAACTTGAATAAATTACTTAGGAAAATGGAATTAAACATGGACATCTATTGAAAAACAGCATTAATTATATTAACCACCCATTGAGATGAACTATATTTTGATAAAGGTTGAGTTAATGAAAAATCACTGCGAACGAAAACTGATTGAGAGAGGAATATGAGTGAGTTGCCAAATGGGCTGTGTGTGTGTGGGCTGTGTGATAGAGGAGGTCCTTCACATACACACTTCCCCTTTTTTTGCCTTTTTTTCCTTTTGGTAAAGTAACCGTCGCTATAGCAATCTAGACTTAATCTATTTAGTGTCAAATAAGCTGAATACGAGCACACACATAGGTATCCAGGAAAAAAATATATATGAAAGAGGATGCAGTAGGTTAGGAAGCGAATGAAGCGAATGAAACTGAAAGCATCCAATCGGTAGTTTCCATTTCATTTTCGTCTGTTCATCGATGTTGATATTGCATCTTTAGTGCATCATAATGAATTAATTATAAGATACACTAAGATATTTTAAGGAAAAATATACTTTTGGTATATTTCAAGGAATGCAAACGCTCACTACAAGTCAAATGAACTGAATGAAGGATGACGAGAATGGAGCAGATGAAGATGAAGATGAACAAGAAGCTTTCCACGTACATTGACGTGTATTCATTTATGCTAATTCGGACAAACAACTGAGAGTGTGGGAACAAAAATATGGAAAAAAATATTATCTGAAAGCACTTTCGCTGGTAAAACTAGCTTTGTTTTAAGTCCCATATGATGATAGATAATAGTTTGTGATAAAAATGAACGAAAAAAAAGTTTTAAATGAAAAGAGCAGAGAGGGTTAAGGAAATGAATGGATGGGAAAGACTCAATCTCATCCATGAATAGGCAATCATGGAGAAGCACTGAGAAACCTCTCTTTCTGCCTCTCTACTTCTCTCTTTTTGTGATTTCCTCATGACATCTGAGTTGCACCCTCCCACTATTTCTTTTATTTTCCATTATTTTTATATAAAAGTATCTAGTATGCTCTCTTTCTCTCGTTTCATCATTATCTTTCGAAACTGCCACAGAAGATGTAACTTAAGAAAGAATGAGCTATGAAGGATGATTTTAGAAAGTTTCGTTGAAGTGATGATGAAGAATGAGAAGTTCTCAGACGTTTTGTGAATTTCAAAAATTGTTTTTTTCCATTCAATTATTAAAAATTCAATGATTAAATGTAAAGAGAAGGCAGCAAATAAGTGAATATTTAAAGAATTCCAATTCATTCAGTCTATTAGCTAAATGAAATTCAGAATCTCAGTTATATGAATCCCAAAAAAGGATTGAAGTATTAATATAGTTGAGTAATAACAAACTGTATTCAAATTATAAATGAAACTTTGTCTTTTCGATCATTCAGCTCAAGCTGGTTATTGATTACATTTTAAAAAGCATATTGAGTTTCAAACGTTCTTTCTATAATGCTACGACAAGAGAGGGTAAGCCAGAGAGGGAGAGAGAGAGAGAGAGAAAGACAATTACGAAAAGGAAACTAAATAAAAATACATCCATATATGGAGGTTTCCTTTGAAATATGAAAGAAAGTGAGGGTAGAAAGAGAGAATGATGAAGATGATGATGAAGACGTGCAAGTTGATGAGAGAAACGAATGTTTGCAGGAAATTATGAAGAGCAACGATTTCAATTTTGTTTTGATTTGAAAAAAAATTATTTCTGAGAAATCGTGAGGCAAATGAAACTAGAGAAAACCTTTTTGAAGATTTATAAGATGACAAAAGATCATTTTTCCCTTTTATTTGTGTGACATAAGCGGAAAACGGTTGCAGAGTTGAAGACAACAACCGGAAAAGCATATAATCGATGGATGCAAAAAGCTGAAATGACAAGAAAACGACAAAAAATAATGGAAGAACCTGGGAAAGAGTTCAGAAGGGAGAATAGAAGGAGAGGCATTGAAAGCCAGAGAGAGAGAGAGAATTAGAATGAGCAGGAGAACTGAAAGGCACACAGAGCGAGGTGCAAAACTCCATTTCAGGTACGAACAAGAGTAGTAGAAGCTATAAAGCTTGAAAACAGTCCTGTGCAATCTCATCTTGTCGAAGACCATGAAAGCAAAACGAGTTATTTGAATGAATAATTACATTTGCTGTTACAGTAGACATTCATTTTATGAATTATAATCTTTTTCATATTAATATTTATAAGAAAAAATAAGATGACAAAGATTTGATGTAAAGTAGGCAATGGGCGGCTGCTTTGACAAAGTGGAGTCAACGATGACAGACGTGTTTGAAGAAGTTTTTGTTAAAACAAATCTGAACTTATCATTAAAGTTTACGGGAGTTGTAGATATCAGAACGTTCGTAATCTGGCTGATTGGCATTGGAAAAGCAGCTGAGCTTTGCCTCAACCAGTGTGTTAGGTAACCTACTTAACACTTAGCAAGGCAATGAAGATAGAATGGAGGTGAGAGAAGAAGCTCAAAAATCAAAAGAGAACTGAATGTTCGCACATATGATAAGCTGTGAAATAAACAAGCTTGACATCTTTCAAAATAAGAGAGAATAGAATGATTTTTTTTAAATGTTTTCCTGTCAACTTTTGACACGAACGTTCCGAGCTGGCTCATGATGACTCGAAATGGTTGCGAAGCTTCACATATCAAACAGATTTGGAAGAAGAAGAAGAAGGAAAGCATTTTTTCGTCTAAATTAAGAACCAGTGGACGGTAATTTGAGAACATGAATGAGTTCATTTTCATTACTAATGAAGTGTAGATCCTTACGACTCATTCATCTTAACATTTTCAGAAAATGTTACTATAAGAGAACATCTAGAATGTCTATATGGTTGTTTATATGACACGTAGTATCGTCTGTTAACTGGTTATTAGATGAATGATCCAATTTGATATTGCATGCAATCAACGTACATCTGATGACGTGTAATTAGCATACGTGAGAATGACGTGAACGTAGTAGTAAGCAGCAACCATTCATTTTTAGATTATAATAAACATTAAAGGCGGTTGCATTCTCATTAAACTTTCATATTTTTCAAATAGTCCACTTAACCACAAAACTTATTTCCTTTTTCAGTTATTTATGTTTTGTAACAGCATCTGTATCAATTATGTACATATAACTATTTATGCTAAATTCTAGCACGATAATCATGAAAAGTACTCAAATAGTTTAGTTTTCAATTGAATTTTTTCATCAAAAAAAAAAAGAAAAAAGAATTAGAAGAAAATATTCAAATAATGTTTAAACAGAATATAAATGAACGAAAGGTGATAAAATGAGAATACAAAGAAAAAATGTGTTTTCTCTCATCATATGAAACTAGAGGACAGGAACACAAATTTGAAATTAAAAGAGTCTGTGTGCAAGAGAGTTCTTTTTTCTATTTCTCTCTCTCTCTCTCTCTCTCTCTTTCTTCTTCCCTCTCTCTCTATATATCTATCTCTCTCTCT